CTTAAGCAGGCCATTCTACTGTGTCACATTTCCTTTTGTTTTGTTTTGGTTTTTTTTGTTTGTTTTTTTTTTGAGATGGAGTCTTGCTCTGTAGCCCAGGCTGGAATGCAGTGGTGTGATCTCAGCTCATTGCAACCTACGCCTCCTGAGTTCAAATGATTCTCCTGCCTCAGCCTTCCGAGTTGCTGGAAATACAGGTGTGTACAACCGCACCTGGCTAAGTTTTAGAGTTTTTAGTAGAGGCAAGGTTTTGTCACTACAGGCTGGTCTCAAACTCCTGACCTTAGGTAATGCACCCTGCCTTTCCCTTCCAAAGTGTTGGGATTACAAGCATGAGCCACCACTCCCAGCCTGTTTTGTAATCTTTTAAACACACAAATCCCTTCTTTCTTGCAGGCCGTGCAGAAGCCAGCCGCAGGCTGGGTGTGGCCCACTGCTCATCATTTACCACCACTGAGCCACACCTTAGGTGGCAAATGCTAGAGATGGAACATTGGTGAGATGGTGTGCTGGGGATCCTATGGTGTGACCATGGCCAGCTTTGAGGAGAAGGTACAGTTCAAGCAAGAGCCGTGGGGCCAGTGTGGGAAGAGCACTCCAGGTGGGGGCACCACTGCACAGAGGCCTGGGAGAGGGATGTGCCTGGCCTGTTTGTTTTTGAGATGGAGTCTCATTCGCTGTCACCCAGGCTGGAGTGCTGTGGTGTGATCTCAGCTCACTGCAACCTCTGTCTCTCAAATTCAAGTGATTCTCCTGCCTCAGCTTCCCAAGTGGCTAGGATTACAGACATGCACCACCATACGTGGCTGATGTTTGTATTTTTAGTAGAGTCAGGGTTTCACCATATTAGCCAGGCTGGTCTCAGACTCCTGGGCTCCAGAGACTTGGCCTCCCAAAGTTCTAGGATTACAGGAAAGAGCCTGGCCTGTTTTAATAGCAAGTTGGTTGGGCTGAAGCAGAATGTGAGCTAAGGAGAGTGGATGCAAGTGGGAGGGACTGGGAGGTCACGTGGCTGGGGGATGGCGGGGAGGACTCTGGCTTCTGCTCTGAGCTAGGAAGGACATGATCACCCTTTCACTTCAAAAGGCCCCTTTGGTCCCTGTGTTGAGAACCTGGGGGTGGTGAATAGAGGTGGGGAACCCAGTCTAGAGCAGGGGCCTAGGGACCCAGTATCCTTTTCCCTCCCAGGCATGAGACCCACCAGGAACCAGGCTCCAGGAATGGAGGCAGCCCCCTTCTTCCACGCTGGTGGCCTCGCAGTGTCTGGACTCCGGCTCTGCCTCTAACTGGGATTCCTCTGCATTGGCTCTGTGTGCCTGAGTTTCCCCAGCTGTAGAATAGGGACTAGACCCGCATCATCGGGAAAAGGCTCCATGTAATACAAGTTCCTGCTTCTGCCAACTTGTGGTCCGAATGTAGGCTGAGGAAGGGAAGAGCTCTCAGGGCAGGGCTTTGGCTTGGTTGAAGAATCACCTGCCTGGTTATTCTCCTACCTGGTGAGTGGGATCTGATGGGGGTGCCAAAAAATGGATTTAACTGGCAGGGAGGGCATTCAGGCTGCTTCCTGCCCCCAGCTGCAGGGCCTCTGGGATCCCTAGAAGGTAAGTGAGTCCACCTGCCCCTGCACCCCCTCCACCAGCCCATCAACAACAGAGTGAGCATGTTCCTCTACCCCCACATGAGCCGAGATCTCCCTGATCATTCAGATCTCACAGGCTTGACCCTACTCTACATAGTAAGAAAGTTCGAGTCCTCCCCTCAACTGTAGATATTTCCTAGACCTGTTAGTGGGGCACAGTGGCTCATGCCTGTAATCCCAGCACTTTGGGCAGATCATGTGAGGTCGGGAGTTCGAGGCCAGCCTGGACAACATGGTGAAACGCTGACTCTACTAAAAATACAAAAATTAGCTGGGCATGGCAGTGAGTGCATGTAGTTCCAGCTACTCTGGAGGCTGAGACAGGAAAATCACTTAAACCCAGGAGACAGAGGTCGCAGCGTAAAGATATTAACACTATCCTCGAGCCTGTAACACAGAATGGGATTCTGTCCCAGAAAACAAAGCAAAACAATTTCCTACACCTTCCAGTCCTGTCCTCAGCATCCCCACACACAGGCCCTATGCTACCCAAGACCCAGGGAGCAGATCAGGCATGACATCAGACATATATGTCCTCAAAATAGGGCAGGTTGTTTCTGTCCTGGCCTCAACCCCACCTCTGCTGTCATGCCAGCCTCTGTGCTCCTCTACCACATTATGGGATTTCCTAAAACAAGGACAGCCCTTCCCCAAGAGGCAACCCCCATGCTTTCCACGGCAGAGCTCTTTCTGCAGACCTGTGAGCTCCCACTCTTCAGCCAAATGAAGCACGGCTCAGCCAGGCACAGCGACTTGTCCTGTGTGTTCCCTCTAGGAACTACTCAGTGGTGGTGACGCTGCTGCTGCTGCTGCCGCCTGGGGGTGACGTGGCCTGGGTGACTGGCTACCTGGTGGATGAGAAACTGCTATGGCCACTCCGACAGCTGTCCAGGGCCAATGTGCTGGCCGAGTTCTACTGGCTCAGACGCTGCCTGCTGCAGGGTCCCTGGGAGTGTGAATCCTGCCTCAGGCTGTGCCACCCTCCTCCCTGGGAGCCCCCTGCCCCATGGGCACATCAGCAGGGCCATGCAGAGGTAGGTACTGTGGGGGCACAGGGGAGCCTGCAGAGGCTTGTGGCATCACAGTGCCAAGCCCAGAGCTTACTGGACTTCCCAAGGTCCTATGCGACTAGGGCTGAGGCTACACACCCTGCTTTTGTCCAGAACATAAGGCCTGGCCCAACAGGAGTACAGTGGGTGGTTTGGGGCTTCAGGCCAGCTCCCTCCCTGTGGGCTCTGCTGGAGCAGAAGGCGGACCTCCCATTACAGCTGGAAGGGCACTAATTGAGTTCCAACTCGCAGGTCAGGGGCGATCTGGTGCTGGGGTGACCAGCTCTGGGCTCCTGGGGAGCTTGCATGTGGCTCAGGTGAGTCTGCTAACCTCTGTGGACTTGGATTCCTCCACTGTGAAATGCAGGTAACCACGTGGCATGCTCACATGGGTAAAGGGCATGTACGGTTCTTAATGCATGAGGGAGCCCCTCATGTCCTTGGGGGAACCATGGTACCCAGGCCTGGCAAAGAGTGGTTTATCTGTGTGCTACTCACATGGAGGCCTAGGGCTCCCTAGAAGCGTGGGTGCAGTCATGTCTAAGCAGCACACTGATGCTGTAGAAAACAGCCTGGTCTTCATGTTGTGTGTGTGTGACCATGGGCTTCTCTGTGCCCCTCAGTTCTGATACCTGACCATGGGACTGGTAATGCCTCCCACGGGATGCTGGCCCTGGCCAACAGGTGTCTGGCTGTGCACGATGGATGGTGCTTTCCCGCAACAGACATGAGCACCCCCAAGGCACAGCTCAGGGACCACGCTGGCTGGACTGGTCAGACCTGCTCCTTCACAGGCCATCTCTTCCCTACCCTGAAGAGGGCAGGTCTGCAGGACACCGCTGTCATGTTTGAGTGAGCCGTTGGCCATCCACTTAATGTCTTTTTTCCCCCAGTAGCTTCCTTGACATTAAATGGATGACTTGTATGATGTTTTTTTTGGTGGGGAGGGGGACTAGGTCTCACTCTGTTGTCATGGTTGGAGTGCAGTGGTGCGCTCTCGGCTCACTGCAACCTTGACCTCCTGGGTTCAAGTGATCCTCCTACCTCAGCCCTGCAAAGCGCTGGGATGGCTGCTTAGCACCACTGTGCCTGGCCGATCTGTGAATTTTAAGTGCACGATTCAGTGGCTTCTAGTTTATTCAGAGTTGTGCATGCCTCACCCCAATTCATTTTATAAATTGATTTATAAATTGATTTTATCCTCAAATGAAATCCTGCAGCTGCCAGTCTGCCTGCTGTGTCCATGGCTGTGCCTGCACTGGACATCTGATATAAATGCAAGCATAGAATACGTGGCCTCTGAGCCAGGCTTTGTTACTTAGCACAGCAGTTTTGTAGGGGGTCTCAGGACTCGATTCCTCATTAGGGCTGAATTGGCTGTAGCCCTTCAGCTAATGTCATCCTGAAGCTGGTGGGGGATGAGGGGGACTCCTGGTCTCAGGGCAGCCTAAGCCGGGGCTGTAGGCATTGGGGTGCCCAGCAGGCATTGTGCTCCCACTGTGGTGGGTGGAGCTGTCTCCATCACCCTGCCTTTGGGGCTGCTTCTCCCCAGACCATGCCCTGGTGGCCAGGGCCCAGCACCTGATGACTTTCGACAGCCGAGTGTGGGACCTCAGCGTCCAGTGCGGCAGCATCCTCCTGGCCCAAGACTTTGCTCACAACACATTCTCCCTGATGCTGGGTCGGACAAGCCTGGGGCTCAAGACCCTGACCGTGGAGCTGAAACACGTGACCCTCATCTTCTACCCCAGCCTGCAGGTGAGGAGGAGAGGCCCGAACTTCCCCTGGAGACTTGTGCCTGTGGCAGGTTGCCTGGGGGATGGCACTTTCAAGTTTGTTCCCTGGCTGTGGGTCAGCCCTCCTGCCCACCCCCTCTGGTCCACAGGCCTATAGGCTATACAACTCCTACCTGCTGGGGGAGAGCTGTCCAGACCTCTAGCTGCCTCATGCCATGACAAGGAGGGACGTCCCTAGGATTGAGCTGGACAGTGAGGACGGGGTCTCCATCTCCTGTGATGTGCCCACCAGCCTCTGCAGCCTGACTCTGGGCCTCTGGCACCATGGTGAGTCTGGGCCCCGGCGGGGTTGGCCCCACCACCAAGAGCCTCTTCGGGATGCACCATTCTCAGCTTCCAGTGCGCCAGGGGAGGATCACGGGCTCTCAGGGCCCCCTCAGCTTCTCCCCTCCCCACAGGCATATCCGCTGGCCTTCTGGGCACCAACGACAATAAAGCAAGCAATGAGCTGATGTTGCCGGATGGCTCAGTGGCCCACAGCCTGGAGGAATTCAGCCTGGCCTGACAGGTGAGCAGGTGCACCTGCCCTTCCTCCCTCTGGCTGAGGCTCTTGAGGGCTGCTCGCTGCAGAGTCCCAGGAAAGGCAGGTGGCCTGCTGGCTCTGCAGAGGTCTTTGCAGACCCAGGATTGGGGGGAGTCTCCTGCTGAGGCCGATGTATGTGGGGGAGCCACATGGTCCAGCGGGAGGCCTGAGTCTTGTGTCTGTCCCGCCAGGTGGATGGTGACTGCAGGGCCACCGAGAAGACTCAGTCGACCTGCCCAGGACAGAGCCCCGCCTGCCAGGCCTTCTTCCAGGACCCCCGTTCCAGCTTGGGGAACTGATTCCGGGTGGTGAGTGTGAGCCTGGCCCCTGGGGCACAGAAAGCCCTTTCCCCAGTCTACCTGGGAAGTGGCATGGAGGAGGGGCCTAAGTTAGAGACAGTGACTGGGTGGCCCAATTTCAGGTGGACCCTGAATCATTCCTCAGTCTGTGTGTGCAGGACCCCTGTGGCACCTAGAGCTCCAGCCTGCCTGCACTCTGGCGGCCACCTACATCCACCTGTGTGCCCGCAACTTTGGGCCCCTGGCCCCTCCTCCACAGTGCGGTAAGCTGCCCCAGCCGGCTGGCACTCTGCCCCCTGTCTGCCATCTGCCTTCCAGCTGGAGGGAAAATCCATCTCTCTCTCTTGCCAGGGAGAACAAATAATCGTCATTCAAGGAGCTAAGAGTCAAAACAAAACATTTACGGCCTAATACACCTTGGATGTGTGTCCCCTCCAAAACTCACGTTTGTTGGAGGGGGTACATCCCTCATGGATGGCTTAGCATCCTGCGTTTGGTGAAGCATGGGTTCTTGCTCCGTTAGTTCACCTGAGAGCAGTTTTTTTATAAAAAGCCTGGCCCTTCCTTTTCTCTCTTTGCACCCACTCCCATTTCTGCCATGATCATAAGCTTCCCGAGGCCACGCCAGAAGCCAAGCAGATGCTGGAGCTGTGCTTGTACAGCCTGCAGAACTGTGAGTCAATTATCTCTCTTATTTATGATCTACCCAGGCTGGAGTGTAGTGGCATAATCTCACCTCAATGCAACTTCCACCTCCCAGGTTCAAGCAATACTCCTGCCTCAGCCTCCCAAAAATACAGGCAGGTATTTTTGTAGAGATGGTGTTGTTTTTCCATGTTGGCCAGGCTGGTCATGAATGTCTGACCTCTGGTGATCCACCTGCCTCGGCCTCCCAAAGTGCTGAATGATAGGTGTGAGCACTGAGCCCAGCCTCACTAGGGATTTGAATGTCCACTCTCATTTAGGGAAAATGCTCAGCCCGTTTTCCCTCTGCTCTCATACTGCAAAAATCATCATCAACACAGAAGATGACTTCTGTGAGCAAATGTGTGGGGGTTTGTCCCCACTACCAGGGTGGACCTCTAATTTAGTTCTAACACTAGCTACCTTAAGATTCTTCAGCCAGTGCTGCATATGATTCGCTGTGGCAAAGCCCCACTAAAAAGGCATAGAAGTCAGTGGCAACAAGAGGAGTGGCCTTACAAGAGCTTCAGATGCCAGAATTAATGGCTGCCATTCACAGACATTTAAAACTTAATGAATTCAACAGCAGAAGAGAAAATTAATCAACTGGAAAATAGGACAAAGGGCAGATGACATGAAAGGATCCAACATGTCTCAAAGAAATTCCAGGCCAGGTGTGGTGGCTCATCCCTGTAATCCAGCACTTTGGGAGGCCAAGATGAGTGGATCACATAAGGTCAGGAGTTCGAGACCAATGTGGCCAACATGGTGAAACCCCGTCTCTACTAAAAATACAAAAAATAGCCAGGCTTGGTGGTGTTTGCCTGTAATCCCAGTTACTTGGGAGGCTGAAGCAGGACAAATGCATGAACCCAGGAGGTGGAGGTTGCAGTGAGTTGAGATCTTGCCACTGTACTCCAGGCTGGTGACAGAGTAAGAGTCTGTCTCAAAAAAAAAATTCCAGAATGAAAACAGAGACAGGACCCAGGACCCTTTAGAGTCAGGAGGCACACTCCCCAAATCCATCCATACGTAGACCCATCCAAACACAATTGCAGAAAAGACAAAGAAAAGGTCCTAAAAGCCACTGAGGAGGGTGGAAAGAAGGAAGAACGTGTTGACAATTGCTTTCCCACCAGCAGCAACAGAAGCCAGTGGAGTAAGAGAAAGTAAGCATGAGGTTAGAGATGATCCGCAGCTCAACTATTACTGAAGGAAATAACCTCTCAGCACTGATCTGTCTAGAGATCTCTTCACCACAAATGGACACTTACTCAAGGGATACATCCACATGTTCATTTACATACTGTCTGTGTCTGCTCTCCTGCTAAAGCAGCAGAGTACTGCCAAGAGAGACCATATTTTTGCTCTCTGAAAGACTCGATTAGAAAGATGGAAAGATAAGCTACAGATTGGAAAAAGTTTACAAATCACCTATCAGACCAAGGACTCATCTCCAGAGACTCATCTCTACAATATATAAAGAACTCAAAGCTCAAAAGTAGGCCAGGTGCAGTGGCTCACGCTTGTACTCCTTGCACTTTTGGAGGCTAAGGTGAGATGGCTTGAACCCGGGAAATCAAGGCTGCAGTGAGCCATGATTACACTCCTTGCTGCATGACAGAGTGAGACCTTGTCTCACAAAACAAAACCTCCAAAGTAAAAAATGGGAAATAAACACATCAACAATGTTTGGACTCCCAGCCGTAGAGAAACAGGGTAGTGCTACACACCTGAGATCCGGTGAGTTCCGGCACGGGTTGGTGAGTTCCAGGGACTCTGCAGCATAAAGCATTAGTTGAACATCCAAATGGCCAGGTTGTGATTTCAGCATCCACTGATGAGTGCACTATAAAAAGCACTGTTCTAGTACCAAAAAGGTGGTGGCTGCTGAGAATAAAGCTAGGCTTAGAGGCAGGAATCAAGGTCACGGTCTACCAACCAGATCCTCTCGGGAAACAGCATTGGACTCATGAAGTGCCAAGACAGCAGGTGGTGCGGCTCCATGGGAAGCTTGGAGAATCTGGAATCAAGCAGAAGCACTCATTGTTCTGACCGTGTAAATACAAAACTGTCAGCTACTACGGCCATCAACAGAACATCTGGCAGGACAAGCAACTCAAAAGATTTGTAACCACAGGGTAACAATGGACTATTATCTGCAGTTAAGGTCCTCTCCCTTCCTCTTAGGACTTATTTATTTATTTATTTGAGAGATAGTCTTGCTATGTCACCTAGGCTGCACTGCAGTGGCACAATGTCGGCTCACTGTAACCTCCGTCTCCCAGGTTCCAGCAATTCTCTTGCCTCAGCTTCCTAAGTAGCTGTGATTACAGTCAGGTGCCACCAAGCCCAGCTAATTTTCTGTGTGTGTTTTTAGTGGACACAGGGTTGCACCATGTTTGCCAGGATGGTCTCAAATGTCTGACCTCATGATCCGCCTACCTCGGCCTCCCAAAGTGCTGGGATTACAGGTGTGAGCCATCATGTCCGGCCGGGTTTATTATTATTTTTTAAACAAGGGCTAAATTCTTCCCCTCTCTTGGACACCAGTGAAGTATTTAAGAAAAGCAGTCACCAATTATTATAGTGAAATTTTGAAATACAAATTAAAAGGTGGTTATAATGTAACATGGGAAATGCCCCCATAAAACGGCATATGTCAACCATACGTCGCCTTTCTGTTGAAACTGCTCTCTGCAACCCTGGTGTGACAGGCAAGCAATCCAAATCCACACCATCTTGGCCCCTGTGACTTGTAATTAATAAGTGACTAAGGCCTGTAATTTCCACCCTACCCAGACAATGTGTAAACTACGCTTATCTTCACTTCCGTGAACCACTTAGGTAACAACTGGAATGACCAAAGTTCCCTGGCCCTCGGAATGTCTGAAGCCCCTCACCTTCACCCCCACCCAGGAGGTGGTTGACAGGCATAAAATGTCTTGACACCCTCCCTTTCAGGCCGCGGGTTGGGTTACAGAGACTCGAGTCCTCAGCACCACCGGCAATGAAGACTCTATAATTTGGCCTAGTCGGTTAAAACAATAAGTTACAACATAAAATCATCTCATGAACTCTCATAAGAAAAACAGGAAGAAATTAAGACACTTCTTTTCATTATCTTTTTGAGACAGGGTCTTCCTCTGTCCTCCAGACTGCAGTACACTGGTGCCTCCCAAGTTTTTGGGATTACACGCATCTGCCACCACGTTTTTGTATTTTTAGTAGAGAGGGGATTTCACCATGTTAGCCAGGCTGGTCTCGAACCCCTGACCTCATGTGATCCTCCCACCTCGCACCCAACCAGAGGAATTAAGACATTCTCAGATAAACAAAAGCTCAGAGAGTTCATTACACTGGGACCTACCCTGCAAGAAATGTGAAAAGGAGTCCTTCAAGTCAAAACAAAAGGATGCTAGGTGGACATCTGAAGCCACATATAAAGACCTGTATTATTGGAATTTTGATTCATATCTCTGATTTTAATTATTTTATTGGATTTAAAAGATGTGTAACCATAAGTCTGTGTTAAATATGTAATTTATAAAAAATCAAATTAGGCATGGTGGCGTGCACCTGTAGTCTCAGCTATGGAGGATCGCTTCAGTCCAGGGGCTGGAGGTTACAATGAGCTATGACAGTGCCACTGCACTTCAGCCTGCGTGAGAGTAAGACCCTCTCTCTAAAATATAGATATACTTTGTAACAACAACATAGGACGGCGTAGAGCTGTCAATGAGTAGAGTATTTGTATGTGATTGAACTTACTAGTTTAAAATTGATTGCCGTAACTTCAGGATGTATTATGTAATCCTCATGGTAATTACAAAGAAACTATCTATAGAATGTACACAAAAGGAAATAAGGGATTCTAAGTGTGTCACACCAAAAAAAATCAATTAACACAAAGGAATGCAGAAGGAAGAAAATGAGAGAGAAAACAAACCAATAAGCCATGCGGAAAAGAATCCACAGCATGGCACTGGGAGGCCCCGTAAATGGTGTGCTGGAGTCCTCCCAGAGGAACTGCTCACTGAGCCCTTGGCTGTGGGCCTCATGGCACAGTCACCCACCAGGGTAGTGAGCTTCGTCAGATGATAGTCTTTAAAAATGCAAATGAGCCGGGCGCGGTGGCTCAAGCCTGTAATCCCAGCACTTTGGGAGGCCGAGGCGGGTGGATCACGAGGTCAACAGATCGAGACCATCCTCGTCAACATGGTGAAACCCTGTCTCTACTAAAACTACAAAAAATTAGCTGGGCATGGTGGCACGTGCCTGTAATCCCAGCTACTCAGGAGGCTGAGGCAGGTGAATTGCCTGAACCCAGGAGGCGGAGGTTGCGGTGAGCCGAGATCGCGCCATTGCACTCCAGCCTGGGTAACAAGAGCGAAACTCTGTCTCCAGAAGAGCGTCATGCCTGAAAAAAAAATGCAAATGAATTCTACAATCAAAAGACTGTAAGAGACTTACACATTGGTTGAAAGGATGAAAAAGGATATTCCATGCAAATTGTAACCAAAAAAAAAGGAGGAGGAGCTAGACTAATCTCAGACTACACAGACTTAAGGTCAAAAGCTGTTTTAAGAGATAGTAACAGTCAATTCACCAAAAAGATGTAACAGTTATAAATGTGCATGCAGCACACCTCAGAGCTCCTAAATGCGTGAAGAAAACACCGACAGAATGAAAGGAGAAACACATAGTTCTATGGTAACAGTAGGCGACTTTAACATGTCACTTTTTTTTTGAGACAGAATCTGACTCCGTTGCCCAGGCTGGCATGCAGTGGCGTGAGACAGGTCACTGCAACCTCCTGGATTCAAGTGATTCCTGTGCCTCAGCCTCAGTAGCTGGCATTACAGGTGTATGCCACCACACCTGGCTATTTTTAGTAGAAACAGGGTTTCACTATGTTGGCAAGGCTGGTCTCGAACTCCTGACCTCAAGTGATCCACCTCCCTTGGCCTCCCAAAGTGCTGGAATTACAGGCATGAGCCACTGTGCCTTGCCCAATAACTCACTTTCAATAATGGATACAATACCCAGACAGAAGATCAAGAAGGAAACAGAGGGCTTGAACAATACTATAGACTGATTGGACCTACCAGACATACACAGATGAGTTCACCCAGCAGCAGAATGCACATTCTTCAAAGTACATGTGGAATGTTCTCTGGAAAAGGTCATATATTAGGCCTCAAAGCAAGATTTAATACATTTTAAATGACTGAAATCATACCAAGAGGAAAACCGGAATATTCACAAATCTATGGGGACTAAACAACATACTACAAAGCTATGGATCAAAGAAAAACAATAAGGAAAATTAGAAAGTATTTGAGGCAAAACATATCAAATCTTACGGGATGCGACAAAAGCAGTGCTAGGAGGGAAATTTATAGTTGTACATGCTTACATTAAAGAAAGCTGGCCAAGGGCGGTGGCTCACACCTGTAATCCCAGCACTTTGGAAGGATGAGGAAGGCAGATAACCTCATGTCAGGAGTTCAAGACCAGCCTGGCTGACGTGACAAAACCCCATCTCTACTAGAAACATAAAACTCAGCCAGGTGTGGTGGCAAGCACCTGTAATCCCAGCTACATGGAAGGCTGAGGCAGCAGAATCACTTGAACCTATGAAGAGAAGGTTACAGTGGGCTAAGATTGCACCACTGCACTCCAGCCTAGGTGAGACGGCTAGACTCCATTTCCCCCCACCCCCCCCCCCCCCCCCCCCCACACACACACACAAAGCAGCACAGCCAGGCATATTGACACTGTTCTATAATCCCAACTACTTGGAAGGCTGAGGCCAGGAGGTTGTTTGAGCCCAGGAATTTGACACTAACTCAGCAAGTGATAAGAACCTCTGTCAAATAAAAGAAAAAGGAAAAAGCTCTCAAACCACAGTCCTAACTTTGTACCTTAAATTATTAGAAAATGAAGAACAGCCTAAACCTAAAGCTAGGAGAAGGAAGGAAATAATAAAGGTTAGAACAGAAATAAATGAAATAGAAGATGGAAAAACTGACTTATAACTACCAAGGAGATTGAGTCAGTGACCAAAAACTTGACAAGAAAGAAAATTACAAGAACAGATGGCTTCAACAGTGACTTGTACCAAGCATTTACAGAACCAATACCAATCCTGCTCATCTTCAAAAATCCTGAGAAAAGATTACCTCCAAACTCATTCTGTGAGGCCAGCATTACTGATACCAAAGGCAGACAAAGCAGCAGAAGAAAACACACCACTATCCCTGATCAATACAGATGCAAAAGTGCTCAAGAAAATACTAATAAGGAGAATTCAACAGTGTCATAGATGAACTATACAACATGATCAAGTGAGAGTTCTTCCTGGAAAGCAAAGGCGGTTACCATAAAAACATTAATGTAAGATACCACGTTAACAGAATGAAGGAAAGAAAACACATGGCAATTTGTTTCAATTACAGAAAAAGCATTTAATGAAGTTTAATATCCTTTCATGATTACAAACATACTGACTAGAAATTGAAACAACCTCAACATAATAAAGGTGATATGAACAACGTCCAGCTAGTATCATTCTCAATGATGAGGGACAAAAGTTTTCCAAGATGAGGAATAAAATAATGATGCCTGCTTTCACAGTACTGGAAATCCCAGCCAGAGCTATTAAGGAAGAAAGGAAAAAGAAAAGGCATCCAAGTGGGAAAGGAAGAAGTAAAATTTTCTCTATTAACAAATGACATGATCATCTTTATAGAAAATTCTGAAGACTGCATAAAATAAACCATTAGAACTAATAATTTGTCCAAGTTTCAGGATTATGAAATCAATGTACAAAAGTCAGTTGCATTTCTACACACTAACAGTCAATGATCCAAGAAGGAAATTAAGAAAACAG